AGCATCTGACCGTGGACTTGATACATTCTCAGACGTTTTGCCGGCCTCGTAGTCGGCATCATCAGTGAGCTAGCAGATTCGCTTTCTATAGACATCCCTGTTTAACTTATCACCCATGGAACCAATATATACCAACATGCCTATTCATAAAGCTATTGAAGCACTTACACTCAGCCTAGATGAACACTCATAAATTATTGGGAAGGTAAATCTGGGCAAAAGCTCAATTATAAGGCTTCTTAATATATCCATAAGCAGCACATGTTTCACCTTTAATGATAATAGAAGTGGGTCTTGCCATTCTCCGCACCAAGATACGAACTCATCAAAGATACAAGTGAAGTCAATCTCTCGACAACCGTTCTGCTGGAAACGGTGTCAACCCACGTAAGCTTTTCCAGCAGAACGGCTGTCGAGAGGTTGACTTCACTTGTCTGTTTGATGAGTTCGTATCTTGGTGCGGAGAATGGCAAGACCCACTTCTATTATCATTAAAGGTGAAATTTGCTGCTTATGGATAGGCTAAGAAGCCTTATAATTGAGCTTTTGCCCAGATTTACCTTCCCAATAATTTATGGGTGTTCATCTAGGCTGAGTGTAAGCGCTTCAATAGCATGTTGGTATATATTGGTTCCATGGGTGAGAAGTTAAACAGGGATGTCTATAGAAAGCGAATCTGCTAGCTTTATACTTAACTTCTTCACTCATGAGTTATAAAACAAAGTTGAGAGCTAGTTGCTAAGTTGGGTGTGTATGTTGCCATGCGATGGATACCTGCAGCAGTGGTAATGATGAAAACCAGATAGATGAAACTTGACACGTATTCGAAAGGCTTGGAATCGACGAGGTTGTGATTTTTTTCCTCATTAACTTGTGATGGCGAAAAGACTTACTATGCTTCACTTTCTTTTTGTATTCGATCATTTCGGGTTCAGCCCTAATCACAAAAAATACGTCATGGACTCGATCCAGTCAGTCCAGTATCTGGACCCTACTTGTCAAGCATGCACAACGCGTGAACTAGCCAGACCATTTTCGCTTTTTGCATATCTTGAGGCCATCAGTGATATTTGAATTTTATCTTAGGCAACGTAAGTGGAGTTAACCTTAGTGATATACAAATGCTGCAACTGCCGAAAATGTCAAGGCAACTACAAAGGTAAAATGAGAGATGAACGGGACTCGATGACCTTGCTTGAGTACAGGTAATGGTTTTTTGCTGTACAGAGATCGATAGACGCCGATCAAACCAAGTGTTAAAGGAAATAGAACAGGGGCCGGGAAAATCAGTCGATCGTGAGTGAGACATGACAACTTAATGTATTGCTTACAGGACGTCGAGGAACGCATCTGCCACCGACTCGACAACTTGCCACCGGAGCCGACAGCAGAACAAATCTCAGGGAACCGACGAGGCCTTTCAAGCATCACGCGAGGGCACCCGGCTTTACCTCAAGACCTAGCTTGTCTCAGTGAAGTGGTGGCCGGGCTAACTGCGCGATCCACGCGCCTGCTGCCGCAATACGCCGGAAACCAATCACAACAGCTGAAGGCTAGGCATGATCGAGTCCTCGCCGTATGGCAGCATCTTAAGGCAGTAGCGGAGGCAAGACGTAAGGTTCTGCAGGAGGCCGGACGACTTAACCAGTTCCTGCTCAGTGCCAGGGACCTAA